GGGGGGAATTAAGTCACCCCCGAAAAGACGGCCTAGCCGGTTTTTCGGGGGTCAAAAAAAAATAAGGCCCGGACTTATTATGTGAGAAACACGGTATATTTATCTACTCAGAAGTAACTACATACAATTATCGGATTCATTTAATTCCCTGGGGATCAAATTGAATGTGGAAGCTTCATATTCAGAAATAAAGATTATTAAATTTAAGAAAAACACAGAAAAAGCTATGTCACTAACTTTGTAAAACCCAAACATAATGGGATTTATATATATTATGCTGAAAGGTTATTATATAACTTTGTATAACTTGTGTAAAGTTTACATTGTACTTTGTTTCTTTTTAATAGGTCTTGGATGGTTTGCTGGCACAATATGGAACTGTGGAAAACTGTGAACAAGGTGGTATAATATTTAAATAGTTGTTTAAAGGAAATGATCAAAGGAAGTTTTAATTTATTTTTTTCAATACATCCTTTTTTATTCTAGTGAATACTGACACAGAGACTGCTGTAGTAAATGTAACATACGCCAATAAGGACCAGGCCAGGCAGTAAGTTCTCATTTATTCTTAGTTTTTTTTCCCTACGTTTAAAATAATTTTTCTCTTATGTGTTAACATTTGGTACAGTCTCTTATTTGTCATTTATTTGATATTTACTTTTTAAAATAAAAATACTAAGGTTACACTCTTTATCCAACTGCTTATATGTAACCCTGCATGTTGAGCTTAGCTGGATTACCTTTTGAATAGAAACATATCTAGTTGCACTGGAGAATTGCACTTGTAAACTTTTATGAGGGAGTAAGGTGATTTAACATCAAACATCTCCCTTGTTAATTGATGTATTCAGTTTCCTGATGTCTCTGACCAGATGTCCTTTTAAGAAGACTTGATCCGTGCAAGTGAAAAATGCTCAGATTGAAGACAACTATAGAAGGATTTGAGTTTCGATGAACACTCATAGAATTTCTTTTTAATAGTAACAAAATCAAACTTTGGGAAGATTATAGTGTCTTAAAGCAGTTGAAAACTGTTGGCATTTGCCTAAAACGGAGGTATTTCTTCTGGTTTATATAATATAAATAATATAATATGTGTGCACCTCCACACATTCCAATTTGACCCTTATTTAACTCTGGGTTTACTGTACTTTATTATTATTTTAGATGCAAGCCCTTTTCACTTTCTAATTAAATATTTCAATATTGCTGAATTGGAAGCAATAAAACCTTCATCTGAATATTCGCTGACACTTTATTAGATTTATAAGGCAACCTGATCAAAAAAAGACTCAATGTGGCATGTAAAATTAAAAAAAAATGTAAAACCAAGCCAAAGAAGTAAAAGCAGAAATACCAACATATTACTGTAGAGAGGTGTAGAAGTTAGCAAACCCATTCATCCTTTATTGGATTTGCTATTTTATGTCTGTAGTGGTTTATTGAACGTTTGGTGGAATTTATATTTTAAAATCTCTTCTGCCACAAATGCACACATTAACATAGGAAACTGGACTTCTAGTTGGTATAGTTGGTTGCATAAAATAACCACAGTTCAGAATTGGCTATTACTCTAATAGAAGCAAATTCTACAGCAGTAGGCACCAGTAAAAGTTATATTTGTCTACATGCTCTGCCCTATTTTTGTTAAGTCAAGTGAGGAGCCACATTTTATGGTTTAGAGATAGTTCTCAACCTACAAGTGTTTGTTCAGTGACTATTTGAAATTATGATGGTACTGAACAAAGGGACTTGTGATCCCTACCCAAAGCTGTGGCTGAAATAAAACATGATCACATGACTCTGAAATGTTGCAAATGAATATAAATGCAGCCATTTTGCTGAGTATCCATAGTGCAGTCATGTGAACACTGGGTGAGGAAAAGAACTGTTGTAACTTTAGATCCATGTCATAAGTTCCCCAGTTTCTGAACCGAAAAAGCTTTTTTGATGAGAAGTGAAACGTTTTTAAAGAAAACACCCAAGAATGTCCAGTAACTTTTTGGGAAAAACACCTTTGGGACAACCACAACCTGGATGATTGAGAATATCTGTAGATAAGCCCCTTTTTTCTTAAAACACTGACTGGTTATAAATCAAAAACTACCTGTACAGCCTTTATAATATAAAAGTATTATTGGTGATAAACAGTTGTAGCAAGGATACATTAACTTTTCAAAAAATGTGATATGGACCCAAAGCTGCATCAAAGAAAACCATAAAATTACAAATGTAGATGTGTAGAGATACCTACATATGCACAACAATTTTAGTACTTGGGTATATTTTTTTTCAATTTTATGACTTGTAATATTTTGATGTCTACATTTGCTTGGTAAATCTGGTGTCATTCCACTACAAAAGGAAAATATTAAAATGGAACTTTGTGCCACCTAGTGGCTAACTGAAATTAATAATTTAGTTTCCTTTTTTTCCCTGTATGGTTCCCTACACATTTACACTTGCTTTTTGCAATAATTTAGTGCTATGGACAATTTTCAAAGAGCCTTTATAGAAGTAAGGTTCCTAGAATTGTGTGTTGTAAGAGTTGGATGAACAATGTATCAGATCATTTCCCTACAAGGAACAGTTTACCTGTTAAAGTTAGAAGATTCTTTAGTAGACCTTGCTTTCAGTACATATGACTCTCAAATGGGTGAAGTAAGCTGCTGTTCACATCGGGTTCTGTCTCTCGTCTCTGGGAAATACATATGTGGGTGCATGCGTGTGCATGTGGATTAAAACTTTAATGCTGAATCATAGATATTTAATGATTTTTTTTGTAGTGTACTATGATTTCAAAGTCATAACCATTTTCCTAAATTCACTTTTCATATAAGGTGAGCTAGTTGTTTGGTTAGGTTTCAAATGTACCAAGACTTTTTTTAAAAAGTTACAAATTGGCCAGTACTAACCAATTGATAATTTCAATTAATTTATACATTATTGTAATTAGATATTTGCCTAAGTGAGTAACACTTGCCCCCAGGCTGCCAGGTGCAGTTCATGAACAGCTGCATATAAGCAGAAAAAGGGGGAAAGAGCAAGTTTTGCCAAGACAGATTGGCTGCTTGCCCTTCGAAAGAAACAAAATAAGGATGCTTTCACTACTTGTATTAGTTCTCTTGTCTGAAATGAGCTTGGTATGAGTGAAGGATTAATGTTATAATATGTTGCTATACTGATTCAAAAATGAGTTATGGAGGAAGCAGGAATTGTTCGGTTATGAAGACAAATGGTTTAAATAGACCCATAATAATATAAATGGGGAACTCTGAGAAACTCATGTTTGAGTTGAGAGATGTTGGATTAGATATTTTAATTGTATATAGGTTTTTCTAAAACTTGGTGATTTGGGAAAGGCAGAGAAGGAAAAAAGAAACCTCTTTCCCTTCCTATTCATGCAGGATTTGTAGTTCAAATTAAAAGGCAAATTCTTCACTTAAGAGCATGCAATAAAACCTTACTTTCAGATTTGTTGTCTAAACAGTCATATAATGTGAAGGAAAAAGCAGAAAGGAAGAGGAAAGAATGACAATTCAGATTTAGACAACTAACTCAGAATTATCTTTGAATGATCACAGCTAAGATTGGCAACTCTGCTGTGTTATTGTTTCTAAGTAAAACGTGAACGTGTCCAACTTCCAACTTGAGTTCTATCATTGTTAAGTAAATCACCCATGGTTGCTAAGCATAGTCACATAACCACAACTTGTGACTTGCTGCCGGTTTTCCCAATGACTTTGTTTGTTGGAAGCCAGCTGAGAAAGTCACAAAAGGTATGATTACATAACAGCAGGACATTTCAAATGTCAGAAATGTGCACCAATTGCCAAGTGCCTGAATCAAGACCAGGGGGATGTTTCAACCATTGTAAATTCAAGTACCAGTTGTAAACCTGCTTTTTAAACTCTGTAGTAAATTCAAATATTATTAAACAGGACAGTTTCAAAGATTATTGAACAGAACTGAGGATTACCTACTTTTAGAATTTGAATTTCTTGAGCATGCTGGAGAATAGGATCCAGACCAAAGTCCAGTTCTTTTCCTTCTACTTGTAATGTCATAAATTAGGACCCAGAGTCCTTTCCTGTTATCATATTGCCTACCTGCCAATGATAAGCAGTTTTAAGATTCCAGCCAATCATATCTTCATTTGCCAAAGGGCTCTTTTTTGCCAACTTATGCCTATCTGTAAAGAGAAAGGAGTTAAATGTGACTCTTCAAAAGCCAGCACTCAAAACACTTTAGAAGTGGGAACACTTTCAGATGCTGGCTCCCAAAGTACTTTTTGCTCTAAGGAAATAAGAAAAAGGCAGTACTTCAGAGAAATTCTGCTTCAAGTTGCTATTTATGCTGCTTTTGAGTCATCTTAAGGCATTTCCCCACGAGGAAGGAAGGAGATAATATTTAGGAATAAAGAGAAGGGTTATTTATGATCTCATGAGTCAGATGGGACAGCTTACCATTCCCAGTGAAATGCTATACCATAATTGATTGGCTTTCTGTTCTGCTTCATCTGCAACAACTTACTTTCTTTGCAAACTTATACAGAGCAATAGAAAAATTGAACGGATTCCAGCTTGAAAACTATTCATTAAAAGTTGCATATATCCCTGATGAAATGGCAGCCCAACTACCTCCTCAGCAGCATCCTCAAGGTAGACGCGGATTTGGGCAGAGAGGTCCCCCTAGACAAGGTTCACCAGGTGCAGCAACAAGACCACAGTCTGATGTTCCATTACGGATACTTGTTCCAACCCAGTTTGTAGGAGCTATTATTGGAAAAGAAGGAGCCACAATTAGAAATATCACAAAGCAGACACAGTCAAAGTAAGTCACTATATGAAGTATTATTTTTAGTATAATTTAAAGTGTTACATTGTTGCATTTAAATTATTGAAATACAATTTTTAATTGGAAAAGAAGACTGACTTCATATGATCTTGCTTCATGAGTATTCAGTTGAACTGAGATGTGCTAACTGGATTGTAGTGCTATTAAGAGTTCTTACATTTAAGAATCCTGATAAACATTAGAATGTGTCACATTTCATTATATTGTCTTGCATCTATATTTCCCCAATCTGGATATTAAGGAGTCAGGTAGTCAAGAGGATAGAAAGGAGGAAAACATTAGGGTCATTCAACAGTTCATTCTTTGATCAGCACAACGTGGTTAGAAAGACCGTGTTATTACTGATTTGGCCATAGCTGACATTTTTGCCCAGTTGTTCTATTAGTTAAATTTAATAATATTTAACTTACTTGTTTGGTAGATCATTGTTAATTATTTTTAAAGCTTGAATGGGTATTTTAATAACTTTTGAGGTAGAGTTTTTTTAAAAAAAATTAAAAAGTGCATTCAGTACGATATTTTAATACATACTTTCACTTCTTTTAAGAATAATTTAAAAAAAATAAAAATAGACTTCTGTAAGTTGAAATGGTAGAATACTGAAAGCATAATCAATTTGTGAATTGAAAATTGGAGAGCTGTAAGATGTTTCCAATTATCAAAACCATAATCTAGCAGAATGAAATCAGCCAATATGGAGATGTAGTATTTTTGCATTGAAGAATGTCCAATGAAAACTATGCATTTCATTGTACTTTTCCTGTACTGTCTTTTTTGAAGCAAATAAAATGAAGGATTTTTTTAGCTGTATTTAACTGTATTCAGGTTTTTGTATTTTATTGCTTATTTTGATATCCATTTTTGAGTGAACTTTTAGGATTGTTTGAAAGCCAGACATAATGTCCTGTTCTTCACTGAAAATGGGTCTGAAAATGGCACTGAATTAAGGTAATTCTAGAGGTGCAGTACAAGAAGTATTGAGATGGATGGTAAGCAGTTGATGAAGGTTTGACACTACACTATGTTGGCACTACAATGAGAGAAGAATTTGAAATTTTGCAAATCCCAAAGTAGGGAAAATATAGCAAATCATTGATATTTCTTCATATGTTAGATGACTGGTCAAATCACTTCAAAACTTTAATTTTGATAAGCAGATCTTATAACAGTGGATGAATATGAGTTATTGTGGCTTTAAAAAGGTAAGTGTAATAGATCATTTGAAAGTTACAGGACTTCTGGGGAAAAGAAATCCGAAAATAAGATGGTGGCAAATCATTTCCATGGATACAAGCTCAATTTCAGAGGGATTTTGTCTAAAATTTGATTGGATTAAAATATATACAAATTACACTTGAGGATTTGGTTTCATCCCTCAAAGGAGTTTTTGGATGAGAAACATCTTCTGTATGCATATTCATCTTATGGCAGATGCAAACTAAATGAGGTTAGACAACAAGACCAAATGGATTGAGCTGAACGTATCATGGTATTAATGAAAAGGCATTAATCTGTCAGTATGACGTTTGAATTTGGTTCTATTGGTTTATTTTCAAGGACTCGGATTTTGAAAATCACAAATATTTTTAGATTTTTTTTTCTCTTTTCAGGATTGATATTCATCGTAAAGAAAATGCAGGAGCTGCTGAAAAACCAATTACAATCCATTCTACTCCAGAAGGATGCTCAACTGCTTGTAAAATTATCATGGAAATAATGGAAAAGGAAGCTCAAGACACTAAATAGTGAGTACAGGTGTTTTAGTAAGTCTACCTTCTTGTGTGTGTCTCAAATACAGGTAACCCTCGAGTTATGTCCATCATTGAGCCCGAAATTTATGTTGCTAAGTGAAACATTTGTTTATTGAGTTTTCCCCATTTTACAACTCTCCTTGCCACAGTTGTTAAGTGAATAACTTCAGTTGTTAAGTTAGTCACACTGTTGTTAAGTGACTCTGGTTTCCTCTTTGACTTTGCTCGTCAAAAGGTCGCAAAAAGGATCACATGACCCCAGGACACTGCAACTGTCTTAAATGTTAGGGATAACATTGGTTGCCTAACTTAGTTTGGGTAGAATAATATATAAACTATGTTAGTGAGTTTAAGTGTATGTATCACTTTAAACTGTAAACCAAGTATTTTGGGTGCGGTTGTAAAATCACCATAGGAGGGAGCAAGAGAGCTCACTGTTTGCTTGGCTTTTACTGGAATGCTGACAATGAAGGATTGATGGTGATAAACTGCGTGTTTGCTGAAAGAAGAAAAGGGGTTTGATTTTTCTTCATATCTCTGACTGCAAAAGAGATATATCACTGGACTGATTGATTGTAAGTTTAATGAACTCTTTTTCGACACTGGACTTTGCAAACTGAATAACCCCCGGACTGACTGAACTTAGTGTATGACATATGGACTATTTGACTATGCTATAACTCTTGCTGGAATAAAAACTATTTAACTTGCACAGTGTATCTGTCTTACTGAGTGTAAGCTACTACAA